CTTGTCTGGCCTTCAGGTGCTTTGGAAAAATAGGTTGACCCCCCCTCTTTTCTGTGACATCCTATTGGAACACTCCAAAGCTCCAGAAGGCAAGAGAAGAAACCATGGTTGGAAACTAATCCAAGAGAGAAGTGAAAATGGAATTGAAGAGAAACTTCCTAACAGTGAGGACAATCAACCAGATTGTGAGGACAATTAATCAGACAATCAACTGAAGTTGCCTTCAGAAGTTGTGAGTTGCTCCATCACTGGAGGTTTTTAAGAAGAAACTGGACAACCACTTGTGTGAAATGGTATAGGGCCGTGATGGCGAACCTATGGCACACGTGCCACAGCTGGCGTGCGGAGCCATATTGGTGGGCCCGTGAGCCTTGACCTAGCTCAGCTGCAGCGCGAATGCGTGCACTGGCCAACGGGTTTTTGGACCTTCTGGGCCCACCTGAAGTTGAGAAACAAGTTGTTTCCGGCCTCCAGAGGGCCTCCGTGGGGGGGGGTGAGGAATGCCCATTTTTTGCCCTCCCCAGGCTCCAGAGGCTTTCTAGGAGCCTGCGGAGGGCGAAAACGGCCTTCCCTGCCCTCCCAGAGGTCGGAAGCGGCCCGTTTGCCGATTTCTGGTGAGACCAGAAGGCCCATTTTTCGCCCTCCCCAGGCTCCAGAGGCTTTCTAGGAACCCGGAGAGAGTGAAAACGGCCAGAAACGGAGGCCAGAAACGGCCTGGGGCACATTGAATTATGGGTGTGGACACACGCACGTGCGACCCCCCCCCATTCCCCCCTGCTTTTGGCACACGATGGCAAAAAGGTTAGCCTTCACTGGTATAGGGTCTCCTGCCATCATTCTGCCATCATTGTCACCTCTGGTCCTTCTCTTCACTAGACTCGATGTATCCCATTCCTTCGACCGTTTTTCCTATGTTTTAGCCTCCAGTCCCCTAATCGCCTTCGTTGCTCTTCTCTGCACTCTTTCGCATGACAATTTCTCGTGAGTATCCAATGAGTAGAAACCGGGTTCTTTCTCCTCTCCCTTTTGCCAGCTCCCTTTCTTGCTACGTCCACTAATAAAAACACTGGGCATGAAAATATTATTTAAAAGTGGTTTAGCTCCACCAAGGTTATCTCCCGACCACGTCATTTTAAGTCCTGGAGGCATCTCTGCTCCTGTGTGTTAGATATGTATTAGCCATCCGCTGTTGTGACTTTGATTTATTTGCTCTGTAAATTGGGACCCCCCCGCACAATAATGAAAAACGACATTAATTGTTTGAACGGAGTTCTCTTTGTCACCTCCTTCGCTTTTCCTCTGGGGGAACGTTTGAAACTCCTTGCGAAGGAAAAAAACAACAACAACACAACACTAATCGAAATTGCGGTGATGAGTAAGAACCAGTGTCCAGTCTGCGTGGAGACGTTGAATGTCAGCTGGCTTCCCTGTCTTTGAGGGTTTTTTTCCCTCTTTTCTTCTTTTTTTTAACCCGTTTTTTTTAAAGTGCAAACCGCTGGAATCAGAAAAGTCGAAGGGTTTCTCTAAAAGTCCATATTACGAAAAAAAGAAAAAGAAAAGAAAAAGAATGCCAACTTTCTTTTCCAACATAGTTTTCTCTTTTTTTTTTAGCATTTGTAAAACAATTTCTTTTTATTTTTATTTTTTTTTTCCAATTTTTATTTCTAAGTACAAACTAAACAGAACAATGAAAGGTGCAAAACATAAAAACATATAAACACCCATTTCAATACATGTCCAGTTTGTCGCAAACTTTTCCAACATAGTTTTCTAGGTGATTGTGAGGTTTATTTGGGGTCTGATGACTTGTGACCCAGTGAACTTTGTTTTGCCAGGGAATACAATTAGCTCTCGACTTACAACAGTTTTATTTAGCGACCATTCAAGGCAGTGGTGAAATCTAAAATTTGTTACTACTGGTTCTGTGGGCGTGGCTTGGTGGATGGTGGTTAATGTGACTGGGTGGGCGTGGCCAATTTTATTTTTTTTTTACTTTTAAAACCATTTTTTTCTACAACCTCTTCCGCGAAGGAAGGAGGGAAAGAGATAAAGAAAGAAAGGAAAAAGGAAGGAAGGAAATAAAGAGAAAGAAAGGAAGAAAGAAAGAAAGGAAAGAGGGAGAGAGGAAGGAAGGAAAGAAAGAAAGAAAAGAAAGAAGGAAAGGAAAAGAAAAGAAAGGAAGGAAGGAAGGAAAGAGGAGAGAGGAAGGAAGGAAAGAAAAAAGAAGAGAGAAAGAAAGAAAGTAGAGGGAGAGAGGAAGGAAGGAAAGAAAAAAGAAAGAAAGAAAAAGTAAGGAAAGAAGGAAGGAAAGAAAGAAAAAGAAAGAAAGGAAAGAAAGAAAGAAGAAAGAAAGAAGAAAGAAAGAAAGAAAGAAAGAAAGAAAGAAAGAAAGAAAGAAAAGAAATCAGGCAAAGCAAAGTGACTGAGTTCAGTCGTTCTGATTGGAGACATAATTTTCCATGCAAAGACCTGACCTCCTCATAGATTGTCCCAGGCTGCATTGTAACACATTGTGTCATCTTGTGGTTTCCTTGTTACTTCATTAACACTCAATAAACCACAATTAGTAAAATCTCAAGAAAGGAAGTTTGCACGTAATCTGCTCAATTCATGTTGGCCTTTTTTTGGGGGGATGGGGAAAGGGCGAAATGGTGCCGCTTGCTTGAAATAAGTAAAAACAAGCATTATAATTGTATTTCTGTTTAATTGTTTCCCGAATTGCTAAAGGGGAGGTTTAGCGGAATAGGAGTTAATCCAGTTACGATCAATCTTAACTAATCCCTAATGGGAAAATGGTTCATTCTGAGTTTTACGCTGTGTTTAGATACCGTCCCGTTATCGTCCTGGCTGGAGCTAAAGTATTTTCGTACAACATCTGCAGAGATCTTGGCATCTTTCCTTCTTTCTTTCAAGAACTGGATTTGGCTGCCCTCAAACCCTTTGCATGGACTCTACAGGGAGTCTGAGTATTCAATTCAGCCAGAATAGAGCTGGGAGGGACCTTGGAGGTCTTCTAGTCCAACCCCCTACTCAAGCAGGAGACCCTATAAACATTTCAGACAAGTGGCTGTCCGGTCTCTTCTTCAAAACCTCCAGTGATGAAGCACCGACAACTTCTGGAGACAACTTCTGTCCCACTGGTTGATTGTCCTCATTGTTGGGAAGTTTCTCCTTAATTCCAGGTTGCTTCTCCCTTTGATGAGTTTCCATCCATGGTTTCTTCTCTTGCCTTCTGGTTTGGAGAATAAGTTGACCCTTTCCTCTTCTTTGGGGCAGCCCCTCAAATACTGGAACGTCACCCCTAATTCTTCTTTTCTTTAGACTAGCCAAACCCAGTTCCTGCAACCGTTCCTCCTATGTTTTAGTCTCCAGTCCTTTAATTGTCTTACTTGCTCTTCTTTGCACTTTTATCCAAAGTCTCAGCAACTTTTTTGTCTTCTGGTGACCAAAACTGGATGCTGTGTTAAGTTTTTCCAAACTTGAGTCATTAATAACAAATGCAACAAATCTCTACGATATAACATTTTGCTTTTCTTTTTCTCCCTTCCCCAAAATACGAATGCTAATTGTGATGTATTGTGTTGAGGAATGCGAGGGTTGTTATATGCATTTCGTTTTAGACCAACAAGACATCTCATGCAGATTAATGTTACAGCCACATCTGATTAGAAATTAATCTGCTTTTAATAATTGCAACTCGAATCGGATAAAAGCTTATAAATAAATCTGTTTGAATTTTTTTTTTACAGCACGTCACTGCGAAGGCCAACTTCAAAGCCAAAAGGATATATTGCTAACAACAACCTTGGTTTCTGTTTCTTGAGATTCCTAGAACTACGAATCCTATTGTTTAGAAACGTTGAGAGCGGGTTTAAGTAGAAATTATTCTATCAGGATTTTCTCCCTGTAACGTTCATCGCAAGCTGTCTAATGTAAGGATAATTGCAACTTCAAGTAGGTAGTTACAAGTGTGTGGAGGTCACCATACGCTTCTAACCTTCCTGGATTTGCAAGTTTGCAGATGGCTTCCGTGGGATTAATGGGACCAAATGTTAATGTATAAGGCTGTACATTCTTAGTTTCCTGGCCTGAATCATGGTTTTTTTTTTCTCTCCTCTCCTCTCCTCTCCTTTCTCTCTCTCTCTCTCTCCCTCCCTCTCTTTCCCCCCTCTTTCTTTCTTTCTTTCCTCTGTCTCTCTCCCTCTCTTTCTCCCTCCCTCCCTCTCCTTCTCTCTCTCTCTCTCCTCCCTCCCTCCCCCTATCTCCCTCTCTTTCCCTCTCCTTTTCCCTCTTTCTCCCTCCTTCCCTCTCTCTCTTTCCTCTCCCCTCCCTCCCTCTCTCTCTCCCTCTCTTTTCCCCTTTCTCCCTCCTTCCCTCTCTCTCTTTCCCTCTCCTTTTCCCTCTTTCTCCCTCCCTCCCTCTCTCTCTTTTCCTCTCTCCCTCCCTCCCTCTCTCTTTCCCTCCCTCCCTCTCTCTTTCTTTCCCTCTCTTTCTCCGTCTTTCTCCCCTCTCACTCTTTCCTCTCTCCCCCCACTCTCTCACTCTCTTTCTCTTTCCCTCTTTCTCCCTCCTTCCCTCTCTTTTCCCTCTCTCCCTCCCTCCCTCTCTTTCTTTCCCTCTTTTTCCCTCTTTCTCCCTCCTTCCCTCTCTCTTTCCCTCTCTTCCTCCCTCTCCTTCCTCTTTCTCCCTCCCTCTCTTTCCCCTCTCTCTCCCTTCCCCCTCTATCTCTTCCTTCCCTCCCTCTCTCTCTTTCCCTCTCTCCTCCCTTCCCCCTCTATCTCTTTCCTTCCCTCCCTCTCTCTCTTTCCCTCTCCCTCCCTCCCTCTCTCTCTTTGTCTTTCCCTCTCCTTTTCCCTCTTTCTCCCTCCTTCCCTCCCTCTCTTTCCCTCTCTCTCCCTTCCCCCTCTATCTCTTTCCCTCCCTCCCTCTCTCTCTTTCCCTCTCCCTCCCTCCCTCCCTCTCTCCCTCCCCCTCTCCCCCTGTATTCTCTGCATGAGTAGAAGATAGATGAAGAGAGCGAAGCCAACTTGCTAGCAGTCCTCACAGAAACGTTGGATAGCATCCCAGTGGATGAAGATGGATTGCCTTCCTTCGATGCCCTGACAGATGGAGATGTGACCAGCGAAAATGAGGCTAGTCCTTCCTCAGTGCCTGGCAGCAGCCCTCCACCCCAGGAGGCAGAAGAGACGTCCCTAGTAAGAGTCCACTTTCCTCGGGTTTCTGGGAAACGGAGTTGCCTTCTGACTGTACAAAGCAAGGGTTATGAAGTCATTGTCTGGTTTGGTTTCTCTCGACGAGTTGCAACGTCAAGAAAGCTAAATTCCAACTAGGAGATGCTCTGAGGGGATAAAATCTCTGGAAGAGTAAAAATTAGTCTCTTTCTGAAGGAACTCTAGATGCCTCTGTAAGGGCCATTGGGTCGTTGTCTTCTTTGCCTTCGATTTGTGTTGGGGAAAGAAAAGGAAATGTTGTCCATGCATGCAGAGTTCATTACTAGGGACCTTCTGGTGCCTTCGTAGGCATTTCCTTTCAAGCATAAGTTGCTTATTTATGGAAGTTGGTTGAAGATTTTGCTGACATTCAGACATGATTAAGGTTAAAGTCTCTCTGTGGGATAACCAGCTCTGGTCAGGTTCAGCTCAGTGAATAAGTCCTGGAAAAAGGGAGGGAGGGAGGGAGGAGATGGAAGAAAGAGTGGGAGGAAGGAAGGAGAAGGAAGAAAGAGTGGGAGGAAGGAAAGGAAGGAAGGAGAAGGAAAGGAGAGTGGGAGGAAGGAAGGAAGGAAAAGGTAGAAGGTAAAGAAGGAAGAAGAAGGAAGGGAGAGTGGGAGGAAGGAAGGAAAAGATAGAAGAGATGGAGGGAAGGAAGGAAGGAGAAGGAAGGAAGGAAGGAAAAGATAGAAGGGAAGGAAGCAAGGAAGGAGAAGGAAGGGAGAATGGGAGGAAGGAAGGAGAAGATAGAAGAGATGGAGGGAAGGAAGGAAGGAGAAGGAAGGAAGGAAGGAAAAGATAGAAGGGAAGGAAGAAGAAGGAAGGGAGAGTGGGAGGTAGGAAGGAAAAGATAGAAGGGAGGAAGGGAGGAAGGAAGGAGAAGGAAGGGAGAGTGGGAAGAAGGAAGGAAAAGATAGGAAGGAGGAAAGGAAGGAAGGAAAGAAGGAAGGAAAAGATAGAAGGGAGGGAGGAAAGGAAGGAAGAAGGAAGGAAGAGTTACAAACATTCTGCAATGAAACAGAGCAACCTTTAATGTACTGTAACGCTCCTAGATCAGTTTTCTGATTCAAAAATCTCGGGATTTCGAGGTGATATTTCATGGGTTTTAGTTGGGGCAGTTCAACATAAATCATCCAAACCATTAATCTATTGTAGATCTCACACATGATTGGAACAAGCGTGTAATGAATGTCCTTCAGGTGGAAGATTTGTGAGAAGTTACAGAACAAAATAAAAGAGAGAGAAGTTCCTCTCTCAACCCTAACTTTAGAAAACCCAATTCAGTTGCCCGACAACTTTAATCTTTCAGGCATAATGGAACTGAGAAGCTCAGGATTTCATAACTGGGACTATCAAGATAAACTTGTAAAGTACATCTCCTAAAAGATGTTATCAGCTACAAGGAAGAGGCTTGCCAAAGCCCAGATGTTTCCTTTGAGATAGAATATTGCATTGTGCATTGGCTCTGGGAGTTTTCTTATTAAAACCAGTGAGGTCTTCAGTTAGAATAGAATAGAATAACAGAGTTGGAAGGGACCTTGGAGGTCTTCTAGTCCAACCCCCTGCTTAGACAGGAAACCCTACACCACTTGGTTGTCCAACATCTTCTTAAAAACTTCCAGTGTTGGAGCATTCACAACTTCTGGAGACAAGTTGTTCCACTGATTAATTGTTCTCACGGTCAGGAAATTTCTCCTTAGTTCTAAGTTGCTTCTCTCCTTGATGAGTTTCCACCCATTGCTTCTTGTCCTGCCTTCAGGTGCTTTGGAGAATAGGGTGACTCCCTCTTCTTTGGGGCAGCCCCTAAGATATTGGAACACTGCTATCATCCTCCTTTTCATCAACTAGACATATCCAGTTCCTGCAACCGTTCTTTATATATTTTATCCTCCAGTCCCCTAATCTTCTTGGTTGCTCTTCTCTGCACTCTTTCTAGAGTCTCCACATCTTTTCTTTTACAACTTCTGCCTTTGCAGGGAGGCGTTTGACAAATCTAAATCAGATCAGACTTGCTGAATGGGTAAACTATGCACAGACCATCTCTCCATGTCCGGACTGAACTCAACGAATCAAAGAGTGTGAATTTCAAAGGAGAAGGAATAAGAAATAAGAACGCCTAACCGCTTTCTTTCTTTCTGTTCCCAACCTTCCCCCCTTTCCCAACCACCAATTATTTCCTTCCGCTCTTCCTCGCAGCTTAAGAAGCTCTTGTTGGCTCCAGCAAACATCCAACTAAATTACGATGAATGCAGCGGCCTCGGCACACGCAACCATGCCAACGCCAATCACCGGATCAGAACAAACCCCGCCGTGGCCAAGGTACCGTGTTCACCTCTTTAAAGCGTATGTGGAGATGAATTTGCAAACGCTCGATCCTTGCAGTTTCAGCACAGAGCATAGCCCGGTATTGACAGATGTCAGATCTTGGCACCAGGAGAAGCAGCTATATAGGGACCGTAGGTGAAAGCATCATTCCTTTTCTGAACGTACCTAGGGCACATTGGGCATTTTATAGCTCCCAGGCCACATCTGACCCTTTGGCTATCGCTGTCCTGCCTGGATGAGGTCAGTCAGAAACTAGAAAGCAAATGTTAATAAGTTGTAATAAGTATGCCACACATGCAGTGGTGAAATGTAAAATTTGTTACGACCGGTTCTGTGGGCGTGGCTTGGTGGTGGTGGGGGGGGGGGGTTAGGTAATGGGACTGGGTGGGCGTGGCCAACTTTTTTTTTTTTTTGACTTTTAAAAGCATTTTTTTCTACAATCTTAAGAGGTTGCAGAAAAAAATGCTTTTAAAAGCCTCTGACGATCAGGCAACTCAGCTGGGATCGTCAGAGGCTTTTAAAGGCATTTTTTTTCCTACAACCTCTTCGGCCAAAGAGGTTGTAGAAAAAATGCTTTTAAAAGGCTCTGAGGATCCTAGCTGAGTTGCCTGATTGTCAGAGCTTTCGGTAGAAAAAATGCTTTTAAAAGGCTCTGACGATCAGGCAACTCAACTGGGATCATCAGAGGCTCTTAAAGGCATTTTTTTTCCCCTACAACCTCTTCAGCCAAAGAGGTTGTAGAAAAAATGCTTTTAAAAGGCTCTGAGGATCCCAGCTGAATTGCCTGATCGTCAGAGGCTTCGGTAGAAAAAAATGCTTTTAAAAGGCTCTGACGATCAGGCAACTCAACTGGGATCCTCAGAGCCTTTTAAAAGCATTTTTTCTACCGAAGCCTCTGATGATCCCAGCTAGGCCGCACAATCATCAGAGGCTTTTTTTTTTAACTTTTAAAAGCATTTTTTCTCCCGAAGAATTTGTAGAAAAATTGCTTTTAAAAGTAAAAAAAAAAAAAAGCCTCTGATGATCGGGCAGCTCAGCTGGATATGGGGGGGCAGGGATTTTTGCTACCGGTTCTCCGAACCACCCGCCACCATCGCTATCAGATCGGGCGATCCGGTCCGAACCGGGAGCATTTCACCCCTGCACGCATGCAATACAGCTGCATTGCTTTTATTTTGAAGCCAGCTGTTATTTGTTTGTTTGTTTATTTATTTAAATTTATGCCTGGGCATGCCTGCGTGCCCACATACTTTCACAGCCCAACTGGTTCAGCCAGGGGTGAAATTCACGTACCTTCTCTACTGGTTCGCAAATGCTTGCTTTGCTCACATGCGCTGTCATCTGCACATACGCAAAGCCTTCTGTGCAGCGCAGAGGCTTTAAATCATCCCCAAAAAGTGACGTCGTGACGGCGTGGGTGGGCGGAGCTTCCCGCAGCCTCCACTAACGGTTTGCCCAAGCCGGATAGAACTGGTTGAATTTCACCCCTGGGTTCAGCCCTTCGTCACAGTCCCAGTTTCTCCTGCGGCTTCTTGGAAAAATTAATTGCCCACCCCTGGCGCAGAGGTTAGCCCACAGGATTTTCTAAGCCAGGGTGAGTGGCATACTGGCTTCAAGATAATGATACCTTTGTAGAGAGAGGGAAAGAAGGAGCATTGGAGGGGTTGATTTATTTTCCATCTGAAACGCCTCTGCCCAGTTTGTATTTAGTAGAGGGTCACGATGGCTAAGCATTTAGACGCTGAGATTGTCAGCTGGAAAGCTGACAACCGAGGTTTGAGACCCGCGTTCTGCGCGACAGGGCGAGCTCCCGTCCTTGCCTCAGCTATGCTGGGGGCTATCAATGTAAAGATTTTAATTGGGTTTTAAATGGGATTTTAAATTTGGGGTTTTATAAATTGGGCCTATCATTTAATAATTTTAATTATTTTTAAATTTTGTCTGTCTTTGTGCTTTTAATCAGGCTGTACACTGCCCTGAGTCCTTCGGGAGAAGGGCGGTATAGAAATAAAATAAATAAATAAATAATAAAATAAATAAATAACCTAAATAAATAAATAAATAAATACGCCCACCTAGCAGTTCGAAAGCATGCGAATACGAGTAGATAAAATAGAGCTATTCTCCACGTCCCAAGTTTTTTAGGTAGCGTGTGAATATGCCTTTTAAAATTAAAGTTGCTACTGTTGTTATAAGGGGGTGCGATGGCTCCAGAGTTAAAGACACTTGAGTTTGTCAGCTGGAAAGCTGTCCCCAAAAGATGCTGCTTTTTCAAGGAGCAACTGGACTTTCTGTTTTTTCCTTTGAAAACGTTTCGCTTCTCGCTCGAGAAGCTTCTTCAGCTCTGAGCTGAAAGTATATTGGCATTTTTACAGCCCACTCTTCGTTTTTCTATGTGCAGAGTAGATGTAGTTGCCCTTAAAAATAGAGGCCTGATTTGATGTCCAGGCCTGGTTCGCTCCTCTGCCAGCCATCCAGCTCAAAAGAAGATTATGCTGGCACCTGAGAAGAAAGCTCTGTGGTGGCCATTGATTGCTTGAGCTGCTGGCAGTGGGTAAATCTGTTAGCAACCTGTATTAAGCAATGTTTGTCTTGCCATTCACTGTAACTGAAAACAGAGCGTTTAGGGGCACTTAAGAGAGTTGCGAACAGGTTGTAAGACTTGAGCAATCAGCATCAAATTAAGCTTTAAACTCTTCCTCTGTCTTTTTTTCCTTTCCTGCTGGTAGCAGTGAAGGAATTGTAGGCCCTTATGAAGTATATATATATAGTGCTGCCTAGAAGCATTGAAAGGGACGTGGTGGCTCAGTGGGTAAGGCGCTGAGCTTGTCGATGGAAAGGTCGGCAGTTCAGCGGTTCGAATCCCGAGTGCCACGTAATGGGGTGAGCTCCCGTGACTTGTCCCGGCTTCTGCCAACCTAGCAGTTCGAAAGCAGGTAAAAAATCAAGTGGAAAAATAAGGACCACCTTTGGTGGGAAGGGAACAGCGTTTCGTGCGCCTTTGGCGTTGAGTCAACGCCTTTGGCGTTGAGCCACAGGACCACGGAGACGTCTTCGGACAGCGCTGGCTCTTCGGCTTTGAAATGGAGATGAGCACCGCCCCCTAGAGTCGGGAACGACTAGCACGTATGTGCGAGGGGAACCTTTACCGTTTACCTTTAGAAGCATTGAAACGTAAGACGGAAATAAAAAGCAGCATCGAAGCCATTTAGGAATTTTAATGTCATTTTCCTTCTTTATTCTGCAAATAATTATTCACAGCTCATCGATCTAGTGGCTTAGACTCGACCCTTCACTGCTAATCAATCTCTCTCTTTTTTTTTCCCCTAAATAACAACAATGCTCGGTATCCATCCTGATAAGGTTCAGCTCCCTAATTTCACCCTTTTTTCCCCCCCTCCTCTTTCGCTGTGACTCATTTCCCAAGACTGAGAATTCATGGAGCAATAAAGCGAAGAGCATCTGCCAGCCTCAAAAGGCACAAAGACGTCCCTGCTCAGAGCTTCTCAAATATCTGACTACCAGTGATGATCACAGTCAGGCCAAACAGACAGAAAACGGCAACAGGAACAGGGACAAGTACACTTCTAAAAAGAAGGCACTCTTGCATTCTCAGATGCATCATTTACAAGGTAGGTAGCTGACGAGCAGAAAGCATTTTCGGGGAGGGGGAGTGTCTCGTTTGTCATAGTAGCACGTGGCCAACCCTGGAAGACACGGTGAAGCATAGATGTAAAGTGAGGGGAATGCAGAAGAAGTAGACAGAAGAAGCAGACAATGATCTCCAACTCCTGATGGAAGAGGTTCCTTGGTTGCTCGGACCCACCATTCTATCCCAATGTGTTTACAGATGTTGGGAATCATTTTCCTCTCGGGCATGGTGGCTCGTTGGTTAAAGACACTGAGCTTCTCAGATGGAAAGCTTGGGTTCGAGACCCAAAGCGCCACGTGATGGGGTGAGCTCCCGTATCAAGCTTCAGCTCCTGCCCATTTAGCAGTTTGAAAGCATGCATACAGATCTCTTTAAGCCAGGGAGACCGGTTTAACTAAGCGGGATATGTTTGTAGAGAGAGGGAAAGAAGGAGCATTGGAGGTGGTGACTTCTTTGCCATCTGAAATGCCTGTGTATTTAGCTGAGCGGTTAAAGACGCTGAGTTTGTCTGAGCTGGAAGCTGACAGCCTGGGTTCGAGACCCAAGCACCGTATGACTGAGTAAGCTCCTGTCCTTGCCTCAGCTGCTGCCTACCTAGCAGTTGGAAAGCATGCACATGCGAGTAGATAAATAGGTACCACTTTGGTGGGAAGGTAACAGCGTTCTGTGTGCCTTTGGCATATAACCATGCTGGCCACATGAACACAGACGTGTCTTCAGACAACGCCGGCTCCTTCGGCCAAGAAACAGAGGTGACCACTGTGCTCTAAAGTTGGACACCACTGGACAGGGAAACCTGTACTTCTTTCTTTATTTTCTTATGGACATCTCCACCGTTAGGCAGAGTGAAGCAACTGCCAGCAATAGCTCATGCGTAGATCCGGTGGAATAACTCTGGCCGTAACCCTCGGAAGGGAGATATGAATTGTCAGGTTTTCTACTCTTTTGTACCCTTTGGGCAAGCTGGAACAGCTTCTTCTCCCCGTGTGTGTATTTTTAACCAAACTAGAAGGCAAAAGGATTGTTTAAACCAGCAATATATTCCTTCAGAGACCCTCAAAAACCGCTTTCTTGCAGCTTTGGAATAGGCGATAAATGTATCATCCCTATTACATCTAAAAACTCCTCGCCATTTTATTGCTTTCCTTTCTAAGCCGTGTCAAGTTTAAGAACTAAAAAAAAAGCCACCAAAGGGTTTCTTTATGGCCAACTAAACATCTGTAATGAAGTTTAGTATCCTCTGGTGTGAAAACGTTTGTTACTATTCCTTAGTATTGTAAGGGGGGGGAGAGATTGCAAATGTTGGAGGCTTTGCCCCTGTGTATTGTCCTGTTTCTACAGCTAATTTCCCCCCCACCCCCAACAATTTAGGACCCCCGAGAAAAGCTTCATTTACAAATATCGCTTCTTGAGAAATGCCTCTCCTTTTTTTCCCCCCTGCTTCCAAAGTCCTACTCTGACACTTGAGCACAACATCTGGAGCTGCAGTGTCATTGATTGAGAGAAATTGCTCTGCAGTTGAGCGTAGTGGCTTTCTTTCTCTTTCTTTCTTTCTTTCTTTCTTTCTTTCTTTCTTTCTTTCTTTCTTTCTATGATCTCTGAGTTAGGAGCAACCAAAATTCACATTTCATGCCAGGCCCATCAACCCTGGTTTTATGGTGTCCCAAATGGTGATGAAAGAAGGATTTTTTTTCTAGAGCTAGGAATCTATTAAATCAGGGCAGCACTGAGTTCTGCTGTAAATGGTACGTAATGACAGTTGTATCTCTCTAAAGCCAGCAACATTGGGTTTTTATTATTTATTATTTACTTTGTTCATTAAACATGAAACTCGGTCAACTGAACATTCAAAAATGCATCACAAATACCATTGACTGGTGCTAATGGTTGATACGGATTGCTGCAAGTACCGTCTTAAGATGTACGATGTTCCGAGTAGCAGTTTTTTGCAGTTCCGCTGGCGTTATTGCAGGATTATTATTATTATTATTATTATTATTATTATTATTATTATTATTATTATTTAATCTTTAGTGAGATTCACAGCCTTTGAGGCTGGTTAATAGCTCAGCAGCTCGAGTCCTAACCAAGGACCTAGGAACTGTTGTTGTTTTGTTGTTGTTGTTGTTGTTGTTGTTATTGTTATTGTTATTGTTATTGTTATTGTTATTATCTTTTATTCATTAAACAGGAAACTCAGTCAACTGAACATTTAAAATGTATCACAAATATCATTGACTGGCGCTGATGGTTGATACGGGTTGCTGTATTATGGTTATTATTTTTATTATTTTTATTTATTATTTAAGATTTCACCTCCAATTCAGTTCACAGTCTGGGGCTAGTAAAAACTTAACAGTTGAAATCCTAACAAGGGCCTAAGAGCTGTTAAGGTAACATCTGAGTATATAGGCAGTTCCGAGTAAGTGTTGTGACCCAGGCTCACTTAGTCATTACAGGACACAATTAGTCTCAAACAAAACTATTTTATTAGAACAGCTGAGAATTACTTCATTCCCAGCTTAGTCCAAATTAATTCCAAAACAAGTCCTTCAGAAAAAGTCCTTCGGGCTTATCACAAACTTTTATCTTCTTTGGCAACCTGCCAAAGGCCTTTCTTGGCAAAGCCCCACAAAGTTCAAAAACAAGAGATGCCGACTGGAAAACAGATTTAGCAACTTTGCTTTCCTACAAAGAGCCCAAGTGCCTCTGTTTCTCTTTTAAGCCTTATGGGAGGGGCCAATCATCTCCTGGCCTTACTCCTGAGTCATCCCTTTTGCTTTAGCTGCTCTTGCCTTCTGGCAGCTCTGCGCATGTGTGCACTAGGAACAGTCTCCTGTTCCTCTGCCTCGCTGATGTCTAACTCTGGAGGCTCTGGATGCAGCACCTTCCTCCCAGATGGCCCCATATCTGCCTCCGATGCAGAAACCTCGTCCGGGCCTTCCCCAGACTCCAGGACTGGCCCATTGTCCCCCCCAGTCTCTTCACTGTCCAACTCCGCTGCCAGCTCCGCAGGCTGCTGGCGGACCACAACAGTAAGGTGGGTTTTTTTTTTTTGCAAAGTCAGAATATTCAGGTCTGATAAATTCAAAATTTCCAGGTATCCTTTGGGTATTGCTCCAAGGGCTCTTATTACTATTGGTACAACTATTGGTTCCTTCCTCCACCATCACTCAACTTCTGTTCTTGTTGTTGTTTTGTTGTTTTCACAGTTTGCCAGATTTGTAGATTGCATTTGGGCATTTTTCCCCACCTAGTGAGTCTTTCTCAAGAAGCTGGGATAGGCAGATATTGTTGTGTGATGGTATTAAACCATCATTCAGAGCACGTAAACCACCATTTCCCAACCTTAACAATTTGGAGATATGTGGACTTCAACTCCCAGAACTCCCCTTGCTATTGTTATTGTTAATATTTTAATGTTTTCCCCTAGCAGGGCATATCAGATCTGGGCTGCAGAAATCTGGAGAACCTTTAGTTGGGGGAAAAAAAGATTTTCAATTCACTTTGCTAACTTCAGGATAGTGGTCATTCAGGATTTTTTAAGCACACATGTGATAACCATCCGTAGAGGAAATGTCCTAGAATCGAAGTGGAATCCATTTCGATTATTGCTGTGTTGATGGGCAAAGAAATGTCCATTGAATTCCCTTGTTGATAGAAGGCAAGAAAGAATTACAAGGTTGTTTTTTTTAAAAAAAATATTTTAATTATTGTATTTCTGTGTCGTTTAGAGAACGAATGTTATGGGGCACCTGCTAAGCAGAGTAAGTATTTACTAATTTACTGGCTTCATTTACTTCACAATGAATCCTCTCTTCTGAATTCTATTCGGTTTGGGGAAAACTGTTGGTAGAAGTTTTAAAAAATACCCTGTTTCCCCGAAAATAAGACCTAACCTTAAAATACGTCCTAACATGATTTTTTCAGGATTTTTTTTTTAATTTGATTTATATGCTGCCCTTCTCCGGAGACTCAGGGTGGCTTACAATGCGTTAAGAAATAGCCTTCATCCTTTTTGTATATTTATACAAAGTCAGCTTATTGCCCCCACAACTGGGTCCTCAATTTACCTACCTTAGAAAGGATGGAAGGCTGAGTCAACCTTGAGCCTGCTGATATTTGAACTTACAGTAATTGCAGACAGCTGGATGTTAATTACAATGCATTAGTCTGCTGAGCTATCCAGGCTCCTGGTTGTAAGCCCTATCCAGTAGGGCTTATATTACGAGGATGCTCATAATGTAAGCTCTACTCCCAAAATAAGCCCCAGTTAAAGTTGTCATCCAGAGGGATGCATTTAGTACTGTATTTCCCCCAAAATAAGACCTAACCAGAAAATAAGCCCTAATGCATCTTTTGAAGCAAAAATTAATATACCACCCAGTCTTATTTTCGGGGAAACATAATAGTAAGGAAGAGTCATGAAGCTGGAACCAATGTATTCTCCCAAAAGGTGAACACTGCTTCATCCGGAGGCTTCATTTAAAGGCAGGACAAAAGACGGGGGAAGGAATAGAGAGGATTTTCTTCATTGATCCCCAGTCCAAAGTAAATCAATAGTTTTGATCCTATATGTTTATCGAAGCCCAATGACTAAATGCCAATGTTGAATTTTTCAAGCCTGTTCTACTCGCTGGGGAATGAACCAAAATCAATCTGATGTTCATAGAGTTACATTCTGGATGGAAAATCTTCTTACTCTTAATAGACACTCTGCAGAAGATTGACTCAGGAATGTTTTAGTGCAGGCTGTCCTTTTCCACCCCAATCCTAAATATGTCAAGCAGAGACATCAGCGAGGAAGGACGACATGATTACTATAGGCAGAACTTTACAATGTTTTCTTAGCCACAGTAGAATAAGCGCAGGAGGAATCATCTATCTCCAGTCTACAACACCGAACCTTTTAATTGTTCCAAGAAGGCTCCACACCTATTTGCACCACTCAGGTGGCCCTGAGGACACAGATAAACCTCCAAGTGCCCTCAACGGCCCTCTAAAAGGATGCAGATGACCAGCTGTCTGCAAGGAGTATAAACCCTTCCCTTTTATCCCCCCCAGAAATTGCTGCTTCGAAAAATATGAGAGTTCTGGTTTGCAATTTCTCAAGTATTGGCGAAAGCAGCCAAGGTTTTTATTCTGGATTTGTCCACGGAGATTCTCCGTCATCCAGGTCCTGGTTGTCCCAAAGGTGATTTTTCAAAAGGCCATGGGACTTTGTTGTTCCTTGAAGACGTTTCGCTTCTCATCCAAGAAGCTTCCCTACTTCTACAGAAGCGAAACGTCTTCGAGGAACAACAAAATCCAGTTGCCTTTATTCTGGAATGTTTTCTTAATGAGTCTCCCACCTGTTAGTATTTGAGATTCCGGCACATTTTTTGCCCGATTGGGCTTATTATCAGGGGATGTCTTATTTTGGGGAAATCAGGGTATTTGTCTATGTCTATCTATATCTATCTATCTATCTATCTATCTATCTATCTATCTATCTATCTATCTATCTTTCTCTATCTAATTTATCTCTATCTATCTATCTTTCTATCTATCCAGCTCTATCTATCTATCTATCTATCTATCTATCTATCTATCTATCTATCTATCATCTGTATCTATCGTGTTTCCCCAAAAATAAGACCCTGTCATATATTTTTTTGAACCCTGGAATAAGCGCTTGGCCTTATTGCCATGCACTCAAAAGCCCAATTGGGCTTATTAGCAGGGGATGTCTTATTTTTGGGGAAACAGGGTAGATAAATATAAATATTTTTTATAAATTTATACGTTTCTCATGCCCACCAGTGTAATATATTTGTGTGCCAGAGCTAATACAAAGAATCTTCAACTTAAAACAGGTCACTTAGTGACGGTTCAAAGTTACAATGGCACTGAAAAAAAGTGTCTTATGACTGTTTTTCCACACTTATCTGACCATTGAAGTATCTCCACAGTCAGGTGATCCAAAATTCAAATGCTTGGCAACTGGCAGGTACTTATGACGGTTGCAGTGTTCTGGGGGAATCACGTGATTTTGCGACCTTCCGGCAAGCAAAGTCAAGGGGGAACTCCGGAATTGACTTAACGACTGTGTTACTAACTTTAACAAATGCAACGATCCACTTCAGAGAATCGTTCAGAGGAGAAAAGTCGTAAAATGGGGCAAAACTCACTTCACAAATGTTTCACTTAGCAACCTAAATTTCGGGCTCCGTTGCGGTCGTACCTCGAGGACTACCTGCATAACACGAGTTGTGCGGCCTGCTTCTGGAAACGTCTTGCTTGTGCGCTTCTTGCTGTTGGGTTTGAATTACAAACGCTGTCGATTTCTTCTCCCCAAAAGAAGAGCCTTCAGCAGATATGGAGGAATGAATGAATGCAGGATGTAGGCAGCAAACCTCACACTCCCTTGTTCTGATGGTGTTACCTAGCTGGGTAACAAAACGTCAGCAAGAAAGCAGCCGAGCTCAGAGAGCACCAAGGAGTTCCTACATTGTGTCATTTCTTTGGAGAAAGAAGAACTGAAAGGCTCGGCTTTGTTTTTGGTGTAACGACCACAATATGAGCCCTGAATTTCTGTCGCTAAGTGAGACTTAGCTTGTTAGGGGAGATTTGCCCCGTTTTACGACCTTTCTCACCACCATTGCTTAAGTCAATCACTGCCGTTGTTGAAGGTTGTTAAATGAATCCGACAATTCCTGGTCAGAAGGTCGCAACCGTCATAAATACGAGTCAGTTGCCAAGCGTCCGAATTTGGACCGCGGGTGCACGGCGTGTAAGTATGAAAAGAAGGCAGAAGTCACTTTTTCTTCAGTGCCGCCGTAGCTTTGAACAGTCATTAAATGAACCGTTGTAAATCAAGAACTACCTATCTATTGCGTTCGGGCAAAATTCCACGCCTCTCCATCAATAAACCTCAGGTGCTGATGTGCAGTTTTCTACCTTTTTGCAAGTGTTTCATATTTTGTTTTCCTCTCTCTTTTCCCAACCGCCTTTCAGCCAAATCGATGAATTTATCACTTCCTTTGACGCCGGAGTCGCCAAAGTAAGTATCAAAGAATTGCAAATGCGTCTAAGAGGGTGGGGGGGTTTTTACACCTAATTTGGCTACAGCAACTCCATTTCAGCTTGTTTTTATAAATGCGGCCTATCTTGCAGTGATCCGAAGGGTTCTCCATTTGAGAAGAAGACTATGGAAGAAACTTTGAATGCTGAACTCTGTGGAACTGCAGGTGAGACACACTTTTCTCTGCCTTGGCCGGAGGGTTTTTTACGGACCGCTTGATGTTACGAAGCCCGCAACGATGCGTTATGATCGCCTTGTAAGAAATTAACTTGGATAGCGTTGAAGAATAACTTTTCCTCCCAGCACAATTCTCTGTGATGAGATCTGCTTTAAAAAAGGGACGATTCCCTTACTTGTCTAGACTAGGCTAGACTAGAATATTGAAGACTAGAATATAGGATATAGAATATAGAAGAATAGAATATAGAATACTAGCTGGACAACCATGCTTTGCTACGAAACTATGTGCTCAGGCTTGATAAATTGACACTGACAGCCTGAAACTTAATGTGGAATGTGTAACTCCGTAGCATCAGAGTGTATTAATATAATGCAACTGGCAGTTGGAACAGAGGTGGAGGGGGAGTAGAATGTCCCAGCCCACAGCATCCATCGGTATTCATCTGGCTAGCATCCTGTCAGTGTGTGAGAGAGTTGAGGGGTGTTTGGAAACTCACACAGTATTTGCTGTGTGAGCAAGAAGGAGACAGGAAGGAAACTGGCCATGGCTTACCTCAAGTGTTCTGTATTAAAGCTGCTTCTTGCTGTGAAAGTAAAACTGAAAGTGAAACTCCTCTCCTCTGCTTGTGTTTTGCATTTGAAATAGACTTCTTTTCAGGTGGGAAGGGGAAGTAGAACTCCTTAGTATCAGAGTGTGTTAATAATAATATAGGAAATACTAATGCTCTGATGGTCATTTTGAAAAATCCTTTCTTAGTGAGCACCTAGAAGCCAAGAGAAACATACATGGCAAATTTCAAGTTTGTAGGCTTTACGGTTCTGGAGATTTTGTGATTAATGCGTGAGTGGTTTTCGCCTTTATATATGTATATAGATAGAGTAGAGTGGTGGAGTGGAGTGGAGTGGAGTGGAGTAGAATATAGAGTGGAGTGGAGTTTAGAAGAATAGAATATGGAACGGAACGGAACAGAACGGAACGGAACAGAACAGAACAGAATAGAATTCTTTTATTGGCCAAGTATGATTGGACACACAAGGAATTTGTCTTCGGTGCATAAGCTCTCATTGTACATAAAAGATATAAATGATAAATCATGATCATAAAAATACATTCATCATAAATCATAAGATACAACACTTAGTGATAGCCATAGGATACTAAATAAGCAATCAACATGAATCATACTAGGAAACTAAATAAAACAATATAAATCGTAAAGTTACAAGCAACGAAGTTATAGTCGTAAGTAGAGAAGGAGATAGGTAATAGGAAAGGTGAGAAGAAGAATATTAATACAATCTTACTAAATAGTTTGACAATGTTGTGGGAATTAGTTGTTTAGCAGAGTGATGATATTGGGGAGGGAAAAACTGTCCTTGTGTCTAGTTGTTCTGGTGTGCAGTTGCCCAATAGCATCGTTTTGAGGGTAGAAGTTGAAACAATTTATGTCCAGGACGTGAGGGGTCTGTAGAGTGGTGCAGTGGTCTAAAGGTGGAGCTCTCACCGCACGATCAGGAGGCTGTGAGTTTGATCCTAGGTAGAGGCAGATATTTCTCTCTCTGGGCAACTTGAGAATATATCTTCTGAACAAAACTCCGCACTGGCAACAGGGAGGGCAACTGGCCATTAAAACACTCAGCTCCATTCAGTTGCCCAGACTCCACCCCGCAAGGGATTAGGGGGGTCATTAAAAGATGATGGTGATGATATGAGGGGTCTGTAGATATAGTGTAACATTAGTGGGGGGAAAGGAATGAGAGTTCATTTTAACGGTAATGGGTTTGTGGCTCCCTGATGGCTTTGCCATGCCAAAAATATATTTTTGTGGCGTTTTCCTTTGCTGTCCATTTTTGGGACTCTCTCGGCTAAGTCTCCACATGCATGTTGGACAACATGGATAGAGAGGATCTGTTTGCGTGACGAGCCATCAAGGGGTACTGATGACCAAGTTTGGATTTTGATGCTTTGGACTCTTTGGTGCATCAGAAACTTAGATAGAAACTGTATTCTAGGCATATGTACCTACAGGTAATCCTTAATTTACAAGAGTTCATTTAATGACAGTTCAAAGTTACAACGGCCCTGCAAAAAGCGACTTATCATCATTTTCCACACTTACGACCGTAAGTACAGTGTCCCCAAGGTCACACAATCAAAATTCAGATGCTTGGCCAATGACTCATATTTATGACGGTGGAAGCATTCCTGGAGTCACTTTTTGTGACCTTCGAAGTCCAAGGGGGAAGCCAGGTTCCACTGAACAACCGTGTCACTCGCTTAACAACTGCGGCAAGAAAGATTGTAAGACGGTAAGCAAAAGTCACTTCACAATGTTTCACTTAGCAACAGGAAGTTGGGGCTCCATGGTGATGGTAAGTCAAGGACTACTTGTACAAAGTTGAAAGTTCTCAGTGAATTGAAAAAGAGATTTGAGGAGTTCTTAACCTGACGATAACTATCCAGTTAAGGCCTAAATCATGTGTTGAAACTAGAAGCATCCATGGGAGACGGGAGTATCACAGATTCAAGATGGTGGCCACAATCATTGAGCCAAATTCCAAACTCTTGTTATGTGTATTGTAATTGAGATCAGGGTGACTTCACAGATACACTGCTAGTTTTCTTGGTAGTAATGTGGAAATGTTTTATCGTCTTATTCATCATTGCTAACACCAAAGGATAGTGTCTATTTGCCTTCCTTCCTTCCTCTCTCCTTCCTTCCTTCCTCCCTCCCTCCCTACTTCCTTCCTTCCTCTGTCCTTCCTTCCTTTCTCTCTCCTTCCTTCCTTCTTCCTTCCTTCCTCTCTCCTTTCTTCCTCTCTCCTTCCTTCCTTCCTCTCTCCTTCCTTCTTCTCTCCTTCCTTCCTTCCTTCCTCCCTACTTCCTTCCTTCCTTCCTTCCTTCCTCTGTCCTTCCTTCCTCTGTCCTTCCTTCCTTTCTCTCTCCTTCCTTCCTTCCTTCCTCTCTCCTTTCTTCCTCTCTCCTTCCTTCCTTCCACTCTCCTTTCTTCCTTCCTTTCTCCTTCCTCCTTCCTTCCTTCCTCCTTCCTTCTTCTCTCCTTCCTTCCTTCATTCCTTCCTTCCTCCTTCTTCTCCCCTTCCTCCTTCTTTCCTCTCCCTTCCTCCTTCCTTCCTTCCTGCTTGCCTGCCTCCCTCCCTTCTCACTTCAATGTATGTATATTAGGATCTATTTGCAGCTTTGATATGGCAAATTGAAAGCTCTATTTTTTTTTTCTTTCAAGAGTGTTTTTCTTTCACCTGTCTTTTGCAGGTGAAGAGGTTTTCCGAATGCGGCTGTTCTTTCTTTCTTTTTTTTTTATAGCTTTCAGTTATTTTTAAGCCAAGGGGCATATTTTAACAACGGTCTCCTGGTTTATTTAGGTCAGGGGTCAGCAACCTGCAGCTCTGGAGCCGCATGTGGCTCTTTCATCCCTCTGCTGCGGCTCCCTGTCGCCAGTCGGCTCCACAATTGATAAGGCTTTCGGTTAGGACAGGTAGAGGAAAAAGGACGTCATATTAGGAGGAGACTCTATGGTGGGGGAACCGGACTTCTGGTCAGCTCCAGAATTGAACAGGGGGGCTTCCGGTTAGGACCTTTGTGGCTCTGAGTGTTTAAGGTTGCCGACCCCTGGTCTACGTGCAGGTAAACCCGTACCAATGCTGCACGTTTTACATCCCTTCCTCAACTCTGCCGCTTCTCTTAAGAAGACGCTGCTAGGAAGCTTATGCAGCTGCTTCCATCTCCTCCGTTTGGAAAAGCAAACGTCTTGGGTAACTCCCACTTTAGCTGAAAAGCAATAACCACACACACACACAAACACACACAAACACACACAAACACACACCCAACCCGACCAAAATTAGTTTTGACAAATGACAGAGGTCACAGGTGCCCCGTGCGAGTCCAAATTACAGCTGCAAAGCTCTCTTGCGTCCTCAGATTGTGTCGTTCTGGTGCTACCGTGGCTCTATTTATAACAGTTTAAATAGCAGTTGCCTTGATCTCAGGCTTGAACTGAAAAGGCCATTAGCCAGCCTGCTCTGCTCATGCCATCAAAGCCCAAACCACGATAATATAAATAGAAACTTCCTTGATTTTGCTTCCCTCTCTTTCATCTCTCTCTCCTCTCTCCTTTCTCTCTCTTTCTCTCTTTTCTCTCTTCTCTCTTTCTTCTCTCATTTCTCTCTCTGTGTCATTCTCATTCTCTCTCTTTCTCTCTTCCTTGCTCTCATTTTCTCTCTCTTTCTCTCTCTCTTTCTCTCTGTCTCTCTCTCTTTGTCTTTTTCTCCCCCTTGCTCACTCTGTCTCTTTTTTCTCTCTCTCTCTCCCTTGCTCTCTCTCTCTTTCTCCCCCCTCTTTTCTCTCTCTCTTTCCTCTCTCTTCTCTCATTTCTCTCTGTGTGTCATTCTCATTCTCTCTCTTTTTCTCTTCCTTGCTCTCATTTTCTCTCTCTCTTTCTCTCTGTCTCTCCCTTGCTTGCTTTCTCTTTCTCCCCCCCTCTTTTCTCTTTTTCTTTCCTCTCTCTTCTCTCATTTCTCTCTGTATGTCATTCTCATTCTCTCTCTTTTGCTCTTCCTTGCTCTCATTTTCTCTCTCTCTCTTTCTCTCTCTCTCTCTCTTTCTGTCTCCCTTTCTCTCTTTCTCCCCCTTGCTCACTCTCTGTCTCTTTCTTTCTCTCTCCCTTGCTCTCTCTCTCTCTTTCTCCCTCCTCTTTTCTCTCTCTCTCTCCTCTCTCTCTTCTCTCATTTCTCTCTGTGTGTGTCATTCTCATTCTTTCTCTTTCTCTCTCCCTTGCTCTCATTTTTTCTCTCTCTCTCTCTCTCTTTCTTTTTCTCTTTTTCTCCCCCTTGCTCACTCTGTCTCTTTCTCTCTCTCTCTCTCTCCCTTGCTCTCTTTCTCCCTCTTTCTTTCTCTCTCTCTTTCTCTCTCTCTCCTCCGTTGCTTTCAGTTTTGTAACACAAATGCAAAATCTCTTCTTTCTGCAT